CTGTGGGATTGAAGAAGTGAACCTAAGGGTGAACCCTGTATAGAAAAATGCACTTGTAAGTAGTAAGAATTAACTAAGGTGGAGGAGTCGTATTTCAAAGACCACTCATGACTTGTCACCGTCCTTCCTAAATGTTAAACTGGATGGGGTCAGTTATCTGATTTGATTGATTACAATGGATCACCATTTATTTATAAATATTTATTTCTATGCAAATTACACACAACATTTTAAAATAAATTCCGAGAAGGATTTTGTGACATAATTTAGTTTCTAAAGAATAGCTCTGATAATTATAAAACTATTACTGCACTACATGAGTCATCTGAAATGGAAAAATCATTAATCATAGGTAATGCAATAACTACTGGAAAGTAAAGATTAAGGTTAATTTGATCCATTTAGAGCAAGATTCTTTCTGTAGCACGCATTACCAAAGTGCCCTTGATTTTTCAACTCCATTAACCCATGGGTATCTTTCAAATAAAAAAAAATTAGTTACCTGCACACTCTCCCAAATCCTTATGCACAATTACCGGTAAATAGCGAGAGATTTTTAGTACCACTTCAATGACGATTAAAGTGCAAGCTCACATGCGTGAATCCTACACTAAAGGTATCTTTTCCAAGGAATGATTAATAAAGTTGAAACACTCACATCCCTTGCATCCTATGCCCACATACTAACAGATTACTGAACATTTTATTTCATTAATGGCAAAAGAACATTTTTAAGGTTGCTCCAGCTCATGATTATATAGGACAATCCACCTTAGCTGAGTACATGCTGGTACAGTTCGTATTAACTGCTGGTAATGGCAGCCCAATTGCTAGTTTTAAATGTTTAGGATGTATGTCCCCACCTGATGCATTGCAAGTAGGGGCATATGGAGGTTTTAAAACCTCAATTACAGTAATGTGGGAGTCTACTTGACACCTCAAGGATGTTTATTCATTTTTATTTTTTTTATTATTTTTTTTAAATCTTAATTATTATTTTATTATTAATATACTGCCATCAAATTCCGTAGCGCTGTACAATGGGAATGTGGTGGCTGGCTAGAAAGCACTGGCTGGCTAGAAAGCACTGGCTAGCTGCCACATAATTAACCTTTGCACTCTTAAGGTTTCTTTTGTATTTTATTGTTTTGGGAGTTTTCCAAATCCTATTGTTTGTAGAGGATTCTGATGCGAAAGTATCTATTTTTAATCTGGATACCCAATACATCCTGGAGATTGCTGCAGATTCGCTCAAGCACACTGAACTCCAGTGTTTGGCTTTAATAAATATGAGTATTTCCAGTGCATTTGCAATTCTGCCATTTTCACTGTATAGACTCTCCGGTGTATTTGTAGTGATTTGCCTATAGAAGTGTGTTCACTTGTTTCTAACTTGTCTGGATAAAGTCAGTTAAAAGATTATGTAGACTTTGAGGAAAATCATTGTCAAGATAAATAGTTCTGTATTACCTTATGACAGATTCTCCATAAATTGTATTTTTTGTAGATTGTTTTCTAATAAGAAATACAATAGAAAAGAGTTTCCTCCTAAGAATCTCTTGCTGTGCTTATCGTAGTTTGGGTTGCAAGGTAGATTTTTCAGTAAGATTGTGAATGACCGAACTGAATTCCTTACATCTTTCTTTTCTTTATTCCTTAGTCAAGCACTCCTTCCACCTGTATCAAGCGTCTGATCCCTGTGACCTTCCCCAGTCTTCTCCTACCACATTCAAACATCTGAAAACCATCTCTACTTCCTTTTTATACGACATGGACCTTGTTCCTGATCCCTGAAAGCCCTACCTGTCCTGCTTACCCATTGTGTTCCTAAATTTACATATACCACTCACATTCTTGTATTTTTTACTGTGAGTGGATGGCACCATTCATAGCTGATTTTGGTCCATTTAGTTCTAAAATCTTTTATTTGTAATCTGTGATCTAGATAGGTTCTGCAAGGTGTTTGTTACATTTTTTATTAATTCATAAATCAGAGAGCACTGTAAATAATGTCATCTAACAACGGACATGGATTTCACCTGATATGTTTTCTTGTTGAGACACGGACAACCCTGAATGTGTACCTCTAACATAAAAGTGCTTCTGAGAAGTTCTGGGGCAAATTCATACAGTAAGAGTAAACACAGAATGTGCATGCTGTTGCAGAATTAGACAACGCTTAGACCAAAGACATGTTCTGCAAGCACTTATTGCTATCCTGTATGACAATCTGCTAAGTTGGACACTAAATGTTTAGATCGGCTTCAGTGTGCATACTAATTCATGAGTTGATCTTTTTTGTTTTTTGTTTCTTTAAAGCAACGGAAAGCTTCATGTTAAAGGGACACTATAGTTACCCAGACCACTTCAGCTCAAGGTTTTAACCCTTCAGATGCAAACATAGCAGTTTCATAGAAACTGTCTTCCGGACAGCCACTAGAGGCGCATCTGCGACGCTGGAGGCATATAATGCCTCCATCGCGCAGAGCGTCCAAAGGAAAGCATTGAAAGATGCTTTCCTATTGACAGCTTGAATGCGCGTGCGGCACTTGCCACGCATGTGCATTCGGCTCCACTGACATCGGCAGAGGGAGCTGACGCTGACGGGGGAGCCCGGCGCTGGAATAAGGTGCTGAAGGGGCAGCTGTGCCCTTAGTACAGGGCTTACTTAAAGGATCACTATAGTGTCAGGAAAACCGCTTTGTTTTCCTGACACTATAGTGATCCTTTAAGTAAGCCCTGTGCTAAGGGCACAGCTGCGTGACATGTGACAGAAAACTGAATTAGTGATGTGTGAATGAAAAAGGAAAATGGCATATTTGGTATGCCATAGTACATTTTGAAATTAATGTTTTTAGGGAATTTAATATTCTCCTATATCACACCTATAGGAGATGATATGTAGATACGCTTTAGACTTTTTTTTAATTATTATTCTGTTGGTGCTTATATCTAACCTACTTCAGCATTTTTGTGATTTTTTTTAATTTATTTTTTCTGAATACTTGTGTTGGATACCCTCATCAAACTGCACATCTATCTCATATATACTATTACCTTCCTTATCACACTGAAGCTGGCTAGTATTTTAATCTGGAATATCATCAAACGTCCAGGTATACAAAAGGCTGAGCTCCTCATGTATTTTTGTATCCTTGAGTCTTTCAATTTTTACTCCCCATTCCGTATTATAAAAGGTCCCATCTCAATTCCTCCAGATATTAACGGAATGGCAAGCTTCTCCCCAGTTGTCTTTAGTGTGTCTCTTCTTATTGCTAAGTACAGATGACCAGAGTTGAATGGAACATGTGCTATTATTTCCTTACATCAACTCCAGAGCCAAACAAGCATCTTTTGAAGGGCACATCATTTTCTATGGGCCTGGTGGCAATCATGTAATTGCAGACAAACCTATCCTACTCAATCAGACGTGTCCAAGCTTTATACCATGTCAGATACTACACCAAGTTCATGACAAGTACCTTATTGGTATCGACCATAATATAAGAATTATTTATAATTTTTTACAGTTTTTTTTTTTAGCATGCCCATGAACTTCTAATGTTTCTAAACATTAATGCAGACTTTTTCCTCCGACCTGTATCTTTTAGTGAGCCCAACTTATATTTAGGGAATTTGTCCATGTAATCTAAAGACTAGGCCAATTAAATTAGTAAATGGGTAGTCTTTTTAAGGTATATGTTATATATTAATGTACATATGTAAATATTCACTGACCACATGAAGGAACACATTCTTCTAATTTTCATCCTTTCTCTCTCTCGTTCTCTCAATTCTTCTCTCTGAAATATTTTTTTCGTCTTCCATGCTGCAGAAGAAGATAATGATTCTAATTTGCTGTATAATTCTTGTAATTATCACGGCATCAACCATTGGAGGAATCTTTGCGTGAGGTGAGAGCAATGGGTAGCCTCAGGAAGACTAATCCTAATCCATTGTTGTCGAAACGTAGCAGATTGTGCTAATAAACAAAATTGTAAAAGTGTAATAATGTATATATTGTAATCTTTGGTGTATGACAAGTTGGGGGTAGAACTTGAAAAGGTATCTGTTTTTTTTTTTATTTTATTTTTTTTTTTTATTCAAATCCCCCTTATAATTATGAACAATTTTGTAGTTTTCATTCGTGAGACATAGATTGTTCGTGCTCCGGGCAGGAGTTGCTAAACTTTATCTTCTTTGCTGTTCTTTAATTTTTTTTTCTCATGATGCCTAGATACACATCCATGCTAGATCATCAAGAGCAGGCACAAGATATATTAGCTGCTCCTACCTTGGGTATAGACAGTGTAATGTTTCTATAATTGTATCACAGATGTTTAACAAACAATATTTAATATAACACAGGGGTCTAAGAACAACAATGGCAACCTTACCAGCTGTTGCAACATGCTCCATTCCTCTTCCTTAATATTATACTTTAGATGGGTGATGGGAAAACTGCAGATCTCATAAAACGAAGGAAGAAAATTGATGTACAGAAAAATTATGAGGATACATACTTGACCAAATTAAAGGATCTGTGAAATTTTTCTTTCTATGTGTTTGTGTATTTTTTCCCCCCTGTATGTGTCTGTTTACTAAAATTAAATGTCCATTATACGTGTTCTAAATCTAAAGGGTGTGCTTTGAACTACAATTTTTGTGGTAGTCTGATTAGTACATACATACTAGATTTAAAAGTTATCCATATTTTAAAAATATAAATAAAATACTTAAACATGTTGTTACCTAGCGAGGGCAGAACTGTATTTAAGAAGGTAGAATGGTTTGTGAAAAGATTAGGCTACAATTTTATGTTTTAAATTGCATCATGTAGATCACTACCCAAAAAACCTAATTGCACTTGTGCTCTGCTAAATGGGTTGTGTTTATACTTAAAAACTTATGAGAGATCCAACAATTGTGCAGTGCCGTCTTAACGCATGGGCACACTTGGCGGTTGCCCCATGGCTGTGCGTAGTAGTGACTCACTACAAGGGGATTACACCTCTGTCCCCCTCACCCACCGAACCTGGAAGCACGCGGCATACATGCCAAGAATGCGTAAGGGAGCAGCATCCATGCGCCACAGCCCTGTGCCAGGACAAGTAGTACTGCAGAAGGAATGGAAGTGCGCAGCATCAGGACCTGAATCAGAGCAGGTATGATGCTGATTAAAATGGCCTGCTTTCAATGTCCCCAGTATGTGAGGAACGGGGTGGGGCTGCTTGCTGTATGTGTATTTAGCAATGTGTGTGTGTGTGTGTACTTAGCAGTCTGTGTATAATTTTCCTATTTTTCTATCTTACTCTTGATTTGTTCATCTTTTTAACCCTATCTGCTCCTTTATTTTTTTTATTGAGTAGATCTCACACAGTACAAATGTACAGCAATTGTCTAAGAACACAGTCAGTAAAATATTAGAAACATATAGACTAATTGGATATCATGCTTTGTAATGTTATAGTAGTTTAAGTACCTTAAACAAGAGTTGCCTCCTATAGCACAAGCATAATAAGAGTAAAGAAGAAATGGAGGCAACAGTAGTAATGTTTATTAAAAATATGCTCTCAAAGGATTCCTCTCTGTGAGTGGTTATGTAGGCAAGGTTCCAGTGCACTGCTTTAGAACGGGGACCCAGCACGCACGATCTGCAGCTTCTCTCTCAAACGCTTGTGAGCCAATTCTGCATTTCATGTGAAGTGCCGCCATGGTAACCTGTGGCCACGCTCTGATGGCCAGGGACTTACGAGAGTGGAGTAGAGCTTCTGGAAGCTGAACATCATTTGTGCTGGCCCTCTCTTCGCTACACATGCTGTCAGGGTCATGTAAGGGCACATAAATAAAGTAAAAATCCCTATGTATGTGTGCACATTGGGACGGTGGAGCCTGGACCTCCCCAGGACCGCCATGCACATGATAACCATCACGGTTGCCAAGCACTGGTGCCAAGTAATGGCTGGCTGGGGTTGATGTACCGTTTGTGTGGAAGGAACCTAATTGAATTTTAGGATAGCTGTTGTAGGTGGGATTGTCTCAAAGGTTAAGGTATGAAACGGCACAACATAATGAAATTTAAACCGTCAAAAGGAGATCGCAAGTGATAAAGCTTGGAACAATCCAACTGCATCTGTCACAGCATGCCGATGCATGCACACTTATACAAACTTTTAAATTCTCTAGGTTACATATTCAAGTATATTCCAGTGTCCATGGATCTGGTGCACATGATTGTATAATGCCCACGTTAAATATATATATATTTTTTTATTAAATTGGGTGGATTATTTGTTTGCGAGATTAGTTTGACAGTTTGTACTTTTTTTTTTCCTTTTCATTTTAAATAGTGGTGCTATCTCTGTGTGTGTGTGTGTGTGTGTATATGTATGTGTATGTATACGACTCCAGTCTTTTGCAGTAAGAGGTGTCCAGTGGAATCCTCCGTCCGTCCGTCCATTCTGCAGCCCTGCCACCAGCCTTCTTCCCGGCCTCGGTACTTGCCTTCCGGTCACGAGACCGGCACGTTCACGTAAGCTTGTGAGGGAAATAGTGTTCGGCTATTTCCCTCCGTTCGGGCCTAAAAACGTAGGGGTTAGGCTCCCTTTTTTCTATCACATTACCAATTTACGTATACTTACCTATTCGTGCATTTCCGCGTTCGCGCCACTAAACTAGACGAACACTCGCTATACTTACGTTTCATGGGGGCTTTCGCATGATCTAACTGCCGAACTACGTAAGAGCATAACTCTAAGGCTAATCGTTTCAATCCTGTTTTACCGTTCGGTCATATGCACGAACCATGTACTTATTACTTACCCGTTCGGGCACTTTAAACGAATTGTGTAAAAACCTGTTCACCCCTTGCTAACTTACCTAATTCAAGCTATTCGCGCGGGAGTAAACGAACGCACATTATACTTAACCTAAGCAGGTCCCACGTTCAGCTAAAAAAAAAACGATCCCCATTCAGTATAATACAAACATTTCGTGCACACAAATTCACTTTATTACATATACTGTCTGTTCGGTTATTTAACTATTTGTACTACCTGTCAGTAGGAGTTATTAAATACATTTAAAAACTACAACCAATTATCATATCCCATTAAAAAGGTCCTGAAAGGTATATTAAAGGTTTCGGTTCCACTCACCACTACTAGACTACCTATAGATGGACCTATCTTTAGATCACTTAGCAATCTCCTTGACGAATCCCCATTCGATCCCAACACACACGTCAGGACACTACTATCCAAACTGGGTTACAATCCAGCTTCATTTTCTGGACACTCATTCCGCATAGGAGCCGCTTCATCAGCCTCTAGCACAAACACCCCGGTCCACATGATCAAGAGACTGGGTAGTTGGAAATCCTCCATATATCATACATATACATATATACCGCGACCAGAAAAAGAGCTTTGTCAAGCTTTCAGGAACTTGGTTATGTAAAAAGGCAATAAAGTGTATATTTTCTCGAACTTCTCTTTTGCACTCTTTTATTTACAGGCCCACTCGTATGTTGGTTTCGGCACACCACAACCAACTTTGCCCTTTCAGATACTATCCATTACGTATTAAATTCCGAGCACAAGTAGAAAGGCCATTAGGCCTGAATTTGTGGGAGGAGTAAGTCCCCTACTTAAACTCCCAGCCCCTACTCACCTCTGCCGGTTCAGTTGATTGTCACCACCCACCTACACCATGTTATCATTACATTCTCCCTGGTGGGCCCTCTTTTATTTACAGGCCCACTCGTACGTTGGTTTCGGCACACCACAACCAACTTTGCCCTTTCAGATATTATCCATTACGTATTAAATTCCGAGCACATATATATAAACAAAAAAGTACATACTATAGCTACACTGTTGGTGATGTATATTTTGAACCCAAGAAGAGATGTTAAACTGTTACACGAAACAATTTACAGTGTGTGTGTGTTTGTGTGTATATATATATATTTCTTTTTACAAAAAAGTACTAATCTGGCACTCTACCTTAAGTCAGAATTATTGAATAAACCAAGGTGCTACACAGCGTAAAATATAAAAACAGAAAGAGAGCACTCACTGGATTTTCTTAACAATGTTTAATGATGGGAAAAAAACAATCAACGTTTTGACCCTGGAGGGGTCTCATTGACAGCCACTAGAGGCGCTTGCGTGCTTCTCACTGTGATTTTCACAGTGAGAGCACGCAAGCGTCCATAGGAAAGCATTGTAAATGCTTTCCTATGCGACGGGCTGAATGCGCGCGCAGCTCTTGCCGCGCGTGCGCATTCAGCCCAGGAGGAGGATCGGAGGACGAGAGAAGGAGGAGAGCTCTCCGCCCAGCGCTGGAAAAAGGTAAGTTTTTAACCTTTTCCCCTTTCCAGAGCCGGGCGGGAGGGGGTCCCTGTGGGTGGGGGCACCCTCAGGGCACAATAGTGCCAGGAAAACGAGTATGTTTTCCTGGCACTATAGTGGTCCTTTAATGTGCCATCCTGGATGAGCTGCACTTCCTGAGCCCCTTGTGTGGGTTGTAGACTCCGTCTTACGCTAGCACTAGAGTGAAAGCACCTCCAGCATTCAAAAGTGACCAAAACATCAGCCAGGAAGCATAGGAACTGAGAAGTGGTCTGTGTTCACCACCTGCAGAACCACTCCTTTACTGGGGGTGTCTTGCTAATTGCCTATAATTTCCATCTGTTGTCTATCCCATTTGCACAACAGCATGTGAAATTGATTGTCACTCAGTGTTGCTTCCTAAGTGGACAGTTTTATTTCACAGAAGTGTGATTGACTTGGAGTTACATTGTGTTGTTTAAGTGTTCCCTTTATTTTTTTGAGCAGTACATATACACACACACACACACACACAAAGCATGCAGGAAAACTACGGCCATCAATCTGCAGGGCATTCAACTTGGCAAATTGATAGACATCTTCAGAACATTGTAATGATACCTAGAATAAGGAAAAAACAAAACCCCTGACCAGAATATTTCAGTAATTGCTACTTAGAACACTCTAATGGCTCCACTTAAAGGATATCATTAAGGGCTTAGAAGCCATACTTTGAGGATTCCTGATTTAAGAGATATACTTCTAGAACTACCTTTGAAATTACACAACCAACCATGAAATTACCACCTTCTCTCCTTCAAGAAGCAATCAGAAATCAGGCAAAAACACCTATCGTATCTGATATCGTCTAAATACAAGATACCAAGCTATCAGCTGATTACAATTATAATAAATCTTTAGCAAACCGCATAGATTTCAGTCACAGCAATAAATCCACTGACTGGTGAAGTGAATAACATTATATTGTTACAATGGCACCTGTCAATGGGTGGGATATATTAGTCAGCATGTGAGCAGTCAGTTCTTGAATTTCTTGTGTTAGATGCCGGAAAAATGGGCAAGCGGGAATATCTGACTGACTTTGAAATGGTCCAATAGTGATGGACAGACCACTATGTCAGGTCATCTTCAAAATAGCAAGTCTTGTGGGGTGTTCCCAGTATACAGTGGTTGTTGTTTAGTCGTTCAGTCGTGTCTGACTCTCTGCGACCATATGGACCATAGCACACCAGGTACATCTAACTCTGTCAGTCACTGCCCCTCTGAGCTCCAACAACTTCATATTTGTGACTTCAGTGACCTCATCTATCCATCTCTGTCGTCACCTTCTTCGTGTGCATTAAATTTTTCCCAGCCAGACACAAACAGACTCCCACCACACAGGGACTCCAGGACCTTAGAGAACTCCGCCATAAAATAAGGGCCACTGTGGTGGAAGATCTAGGATGAGACATAGTCCGTAAAAAATGCCTCTACTACAAACGCTCTAACAAGATGGACACCCTCCTAGCCAGGGCACTAAACCCCAAACCGCAATTCCGAGCCATAACGGCGATACGTGACAAAAGAGGGCAGGTAACCCATAACCCTATGGAGATCAACCAGATCTTCACGGAGCTCCTCTCCAACATCTACACTCACTCCCCGGAGCTAGACGGCAATAACGGGATAAATACACAATTGGTCACGGATTTTGTAGCTAAAACTAATTTGCCGCGGATGAGCCAGGAGGTTCTACAAACCTTGGGACACCCATGGAAGAGGAGGAGGTGGATAGGGTGATCACCGCCCTCAAAGGAAACAAAGCCCTGGGGCCAGATGGCTTCGACAGCTCCTACTATAAAATCAGACACTCTGATCCCAAGACTAGTGAAGGTGTACGCGGAATGGATGGACGGAGGACATCCTAACCCAGAAACGCTTATGGCGGATATAACACTCATCCCCAAACCAGGCAGAGACCCAACAGAAGCGGTGAATTACAGACCCATTTCATTTATAAACTTTGACGTAAAAGTGCGAAAATCCTCGCGACGCGGCTAAACCCCCTCCTGGTGACACTGATCCACTCGGATCAGGTCGGCTTCGTACCATCAAGGTAGCTGTACGAAAACACCAGGAGGGGAGCTGATGTCATATGGTGGGCGGTGAGGACTCGGACGCCTTCTCTGATTCTATCCTTGGACGTGGAAAAGGCGTTCGACAGGATCCAATGGCACTACCTTTTCTCACTCGTTGAGCACCTACACATGCCGGGACCATTCATTAAAGGAATAAAAGCCCTATATACAGAACCCAGGACGCAAACCACCAGGCAGGGAGCAGCCCCGACCCTATTCAGGACCAAAAATGGAACCAATCAGGGATGCCCCCTATCCCCCCTGTTGTTCGTCCTAACGCTAGAGCCAC